TCAGGTCATCAAAGTTTTAAAGCTCCTTTAAAGATCTTTGTTGTGACCAGATGATAAAAAAAAACATTTAAAACCTGAATAAAATCAACTGCAGCTGCACTTTCCAGGGTGTAATGTAATCAGTGTAGCTTTCAGGTGTTGACCAGAAGACACATTTTTTATGGTTAAAAATAGTATTTTAGAAAAAAAAAAGGAAGAAGCTACTCGACCTGATATTTTCTTGACCTTAACACAGGTGTCCTTGGAGGTAAATCTACTCACAGCTTTAGTGACTGTTCAAAGCTCACCACATTCACGGTTAAGTATGCAACCCCTAGGGTGTCTGTGGTGGTACTACAACTGGGATACACACACACACACACACACACACACATATATATGGACTACCTATTTTACTTTTCTTCCCATGGTTGTATTATAAAAAAAAGTGGAGTATAAGATATTGAATTGTTTGTCACTTACTAAGAAAGAAATGATACACGTTGTCAAGAGTCATCAATATCTGCAGCTAAACACCTGAACCAAATTTTGTTGCAGTCTCTGAAGACTTATAAGGACACGTCACTTCAAACCACATGGTGCTAAAAGCTGGCATTAATCATTCAGCACAAATGCGTCTGAACCAACATTTGGGACCATCCCTCACCACTTGTCATAATAATTCACACCATTAACACCAGCATTCCACAGACATGGCTAACAGGAAGGACAACTATTGGTGTGCACCGAGCGAAATGGAATTAGAAATTACAAATCGAATTTCATGACTGAAACAAACAATGGAGAATAAATCAGGTATAAATAACTTGATGAAAATGTTGTCTGACATTTATATTGGCCATTCTGCCTAAAGTAGTCTTCATCTGCTCTTCTACTTATTGTGATGAAGATGCAAAACATTTTTGCTGTGTTTTTGGATTTTAAGGTTTCGGAATAAGAGTTCACCATCTGTATTATATTAACATCGTTTCAAAAATTGAACAAACAACATTTTGGCAATTGGGAAATTGGACCCTGTTTAGGGATGGATCTCTGGGAGATTACAAACATCATTTTGTGTTGGAAATACCCAGCAGACAACACACACACACACACACACACACACACAGTAACCATGCCGTGGGATCTGGAAACACTTTATTCTTTGGTCTTACGAAGATGCATTTCAATACTCCACCAGCTTTTACTCAAACCTGCCACCAAAGACAGTGAGCATTTAACCACAAGTAGAAAAGAAAAATGAAATGACTCACGAGGTCAAACACTCAGAGAAAAGACTGCTGAGCAAACACCAGCCTATTACATCTCACCGCAACTGTACGAAAATGTATATCGTTTTCTTATGTTTGCTGGAAAATATTTTGACATTCCCTAAATTACTCCATTTTCCTTTTGCATTGACAGTGTGTAGTGAGGACCGGGAGAAGACAGCAGCCAGCAGCCTTCACCAGGATGAGCTCTCTGGGGAAGCCGGTATCTGTTAAAACAGCTATTAGGTTTGTTGTGTTAGCTCCAGGAGGGAGAGAGGCTGTGTTTTCAGATGTACTGCAGGGGGCACTGTGGTGGATGTTTATTTGTCTTTACCGCTGACATAAGCTGTTATCAGTCAGTTTAAGTTTAGGTCCGACACAATCACCAGCAGCTTTCTGCCACTGAATTATTACCATAAAGACATGGCTTTGTGGCACTGCCTAAAGGCCGTGTTAGCACAAAAATAAAGAAATGAACGCTTTAAAAAGCTGCCACTGGCTAGCTGTTTTTTTCATTCACATTCTCAGGAAAAATCAAGATTGGAATCATGTGGCAGAGTTAAATGTGTTACTTTAATTACGTTACACTTGTCTGCGGTGCTGACAGCTCATGCAGGCTGAGTGGTTGACTGCACTAATTCAAAGGAGAGGAAACTCAGGGCTCAGGGAACGTGACGGCCTGGTCTGGAACTCTACAGCTACATCTGTTTGACTGTGTAATCAATGAAAGTGTTGTGTCATGAAGGCATGGCATCTCTAACGCTGTGGTACTAAAGCAGGCTCGTTAAATATGTGCACAAACACACACACACACACACACACACACGCTGGACCTTGGGGCTGATCCTAACGACATGGCATTCTGAAGGATGTTTGGATGTTTAGTTTCTGGAATTCCCAAAGCCTTAAGGGGAAATTGGCAATACCGGTCGTTGAAACCTCACTGACCTCTGACCTCTCGGGGGGGCTCTAAAAACATGGATATTTATGCATCAGAACAAATATATACTGGATGTATAAATTAAAACAGAGAGGATGTGTTTGGAGGGGAGCGGAGCGGGAGAGACAGCAGGAGTTTGAGGGAGAGGGCAGAGGAGGGGAGAGACAGGAAGGCAGAGTGTGGCCTCTGGTAAGTGTTAAGGATAATAAAGACGGGCTTAAGAGGGTTTAGGAGCTGATGTTGGGTAACAGCAGGACAAATGAGAGGGTCTTTCTGACCACAGCACTGGGGTGACCCCAGCTGAATCAACAACAGCACCACGGGAAATCAGAGCACACGGGAGAGGAGGCTGTTGTGTCTCCAAGTGTGAAAATTCCTTCTCATCACAGATAACACTGACACTTCAGGTATTTGTTGCTCTTTTTACAATTACTAACATTCCACAGAAGAGGGGAGTAATGAGCAGAACCAGTCGTTATCCTCACCTGGTTTATACAGAGACGCTGGTTTTGTCGATGATGTTCCCGTTTTTATCCTTACACTCGACTCTAGCGGTTCCCAAACTTTTTTTTGCCGTGCACCTCCTTCTATATCCCAGGTTGGTTGATTTAACCAGTTAACTATGCTCAACTGACCAGAACAAACATATAATATACATATCTATAGCCATAAAATATCAGCTTTTGATTTAAAATTTTACGAAGGAAATGTTTTTACGCATCTGTATCGCGCTGAAAAATCCCACACTCCGAACCGCTACCACTTTTTTTTTCTCATGCACCCTCTAGTGGCTGCTCTACTTGTTAAACACTGATGGTGTTGTGTTAGACTAGGAGGCTATTCATGTTGCATTTACTTGTAATAATATTTTGAGCATGTTTAACCAGAACCTAGATATCATAGCTTTTCATGATGACTATTGTTGCAGAACTCTAACAACACATTTGACTGGAGTTTTTCTTAACAAAAAGCCTCACGGCTTTTCAGGAGATTTGACAATTGCAGTAAACAGCCAGATTGGCAGCGTTACCTTACAGAAGGGAGGGAGGTGATTTAAAAAAAATGCTCACTTGGAGTGGGATGCCAAGTCTGTGAAGCAATGGGAACATAATTATGCCAACATTCATAGAAAAGTTCTCCAACTTCCTACAATAAACACGTTGAGAGGGATGCATTAGATCACAGTGGATGAAGGGAAACATCTGTGCTTCATTTCTGTGGGAGCCAGAAAGTTGCAGGTTTCACAAAAAATATTTTGCATTCAAACAACAGATGCTGGACATGTTAAATCAGCTGCTTATTTACTGGCATCATCGGGTCACCCGTGTTACCGTCACCTCAGCAGAGCAGGTGAGGGCCCCTCCCCCACTGTGGTACTGTTGACACAGGGCATGTGTCTACGAAGTACTGATAATATGTAGAGTAACACACAGCTGATCTGATTAGACACAGACTGAGGTGTTTATTCACCTGAATATGTTAAAGGCACCTATAAAGAACCTGGAGCAGCCAATAGGTATAGATAATTTTATTGTAACATTTGTAAATAACATAAAAACTCTAATAAATGTAAGTGGAAACATTTTAATTTCCATTATTGCAAATAGAAATGGAAAATACAACAAATTCGTTGGTGGTCTTATGATTTAAACAAACTTGATTTTATTTCCATAAATGTCTTCACTTCAAATAAACTGGATTCATTTTATTTAACATCAATGTAAATTCAAATGTCTTCAGTTAAACTGTACTAAAACTTAATTCTCATCTTATCCCGTCACATGTGAGGCAGTCGTCCCTCTGGTGTTGTGCATTCTTCATCAGGCTCCACTTTAAACAAGTTTGGATTCCCCTGTCCAAGTTTACTTAATTATCATAAAACTCCAAGAATCTAATGGTTTTGAGGCTTCTTTAACCTTTTATAACTTTTGATACAAACAACTATATTTATCCAACAGTTTTGTTTTTTTTTATATTCAGTGGACATGTGACCGTCTCCTTCTGAGAACATGTTTGTTTATACTGTTTGAAGAAGTGATGATCTTCAGTTGGTCCCTGTTTTCCTGTTTATCTGTTCACAGTGAATTACACTTCTCAGTGAGGAGTTCCCCTCAAGTCCACTCTGAACGGACCCCGGGTCGTCACAAGCACGCGGCAAGATAACGAGACCCCCCATTAAACACTATCAGGATACTGTAAGAGTGATGCATAACTCGGTTAAGACAATAAAAGAGTCTTGACACAGGAAACACACGAGCCGGGACTGAAATGTGACAATAAAAACGAGGCATGATCCTGAAACCTCAGCTGCTGAACTGAGACGCTGAGCCGAGCCTGAAAAATCCAGGAGTCACCGGGGTCTCAGATGAGAAAGTTCAGTGTTCGCTAAACCAAGTTCAAAGTTGAATAAAATGGTCCAAGGTATAAAAAAAAACTATGTCCTCGTCGACAATAAATGAAAGACCGAGTGGGTCTTCCGTTTGTCGGGGTCAGCTTTTATTGTTAAACCAGATTTATGGTTAAAATTGTGAATGCATTCCAAAATGGATTACAGGACGGAGAAAGGCTATTGTGAAATATTATGGATATTATATTATATAATGTAGATATTTCAAATAAGCTAATGTTTACTGGGCCACACAGTCATGTGGTGAAAGACAATATTGTCTATTATGACACATTCACATTATCTGAACATCAAAACAAGCTCTAAAATGTCTGAGGTCAGTTTCAGATTGACCTCGACTCCACCTTTATACTGATGTAGCTGCAATTCCAACAGTGACTTTACATGATTCAAAATTATATGCCGTAAATGCAGTGAACGATTGCTCCAACAATACAAGTATCGCTATAACAATGATGTACGGCTGGTAAAAATGGTTAAAAATACTCCCTTGTTTTCTACAACTGGTTGCTGGCCTCTACGTGTTGGATTTATGACGTGCCGTTGATTTGTCCAGGGTGTTCTCCAACACTTACTGACTCACTCACACTGGGACGGATTCCAGCTGCCCTGACAGAATCGACAGGGCAGATGATTACAGGGATTAAGTTCATCTAGTAAATTCACATTACATTAAACATTGCATTTACTGCTTGTATTTAACAACCATTACTCTTTTTTAACCTGAGCAGTTTTCTATAGGTCAACAAATGACCATCCTTCCTCAGCATCGAGCGAGGAGAAGGAAGGAAGGACATCTGTGGGTATTCAAAGGAAGGACACATGCATTCTCCACGCTTGGATTCTTTTTATTTAAGTGTGAGGAACCAATCCAAAGGATGTGGTGGAGGAAAGAGGACACACAAGAACAATACGTTCTGAGAGGAAAAGCAGACATTTCTACACCCGTTTGTACAATTTCTCTGGTCTGAATGCTCCCTCATGACCTATAGCAGAAGAGAAAACATTTTTCTCACACTGACATGACTCCTCAGCTGATTATTTGGCCCAGAGCTGATATCAAATGACTGTATAGCTGTTAATTCACCCTTGGCTCAGAGATATGATCACCAATATTCTGTCTCTAAACTTTTCTTGTCATCTTCGGACTTTCTGGGCTGCACTATCGTGCGACAATACATAAAGTGCATACTTGGTTTGTTGCCAGCAAACAACGAATGTCCGACTTTGGAACAAATCCAAATCCATTTTAATGGGTATGACACATACTCTATCTAGCTGCTCATTTGTCAGACCAATGTAACTTAGTCGTGACATATCAAAGACAGTGCTCTGACCCTGTCTGACTGGGCAGTCTCTGTTAGATTTAATAGACTGCTCACTAATCTAACTCAGTCATTTCATTATTGCGACATGTATTACAAAAAATAACAGAACACAGCGCTGTTTTCCAGTTACTGTTACTTTCCTACCACACACAGTGTGCAGCTGAAAACATGTCCAAAAACCCATGGTTCAGCCTCAGTCTTGGGCAGCTTCTGTTTCTTTACTTTTTGTTTACATGCTACTCGTTTGTCTAAGATTCTACATGAATTTTCTCACCGTCCGCACCATTAGAAGTAGCTGCTCTGTGCTGTTTGTACACAGTGTGACGCAGCTTCTCTCTCATTTCAGTTGTGCCTCTCGATGACCGTCGAGCCACAGAGCTACTGGTTTTTATCCCGGCCTCACGGTCCTGGGTGTGTTTCTAATCAGCCTGAGTGAGGACAGGGCCAAATCATTCATGATAAAGGGTAAGTGTGGCACAGGGGGCAGGGATGGGGAAAAGGCTGCTAACAAAGCTTTTGGCTAATTTATGGTGGGGGCTGGTCCCGGCTCCATGGTCAGGAGGGGCACCCGCCGCTGTTCAACACCTTGTGATCTTACCCTGGAGTAAATCAACCACTCAAAACCCCGACAGACCCAAAGCTGCAGAGGGCAGCCTATGGTCTCTGTGCTACACTTTTATAGACCTGGTGTAAATCAGGCACCGATGTACAAAGGGCTCCCCGGGGGCCCCGGTCTCTCGAGACGGGGAGTGCTCTGCCTCTTATCAATGAATGGTTTTTGTTTAATTTTTTTTAAGAAAATGATCCGGCGTCTGACGCAGAAGCCTAAGGCAGGACTTAAGACCAAATTCCACTTAGACATTAGACATGGAAGATCACGACACTTGACATTCTTTATGTCTGGTCACCCTCTGCCAATCTGTCATCTTTATCCTCCGTGGGCTAACCTCTTAATGGATAACTCTGCTAAGTAGTCGGTGGGATGTTCACAAATCCGCCTCATTTGTTAAAACATTCTGTCAAATAAATTCATATGATTCATTTCTTAAGCAATTCTGTTCAATGGCCGTCGTACGTAAGTTATAATAATAACTATAATAATAAATATATTATTTATAATAATAAATAAATACACATGATTTTGCCTCTTATGCTTGTGTTGCTTATTCATTTTCTGATGTGCAGAAAATTAGGGTTACTGCTCTAAGTATTCTTCCCTATGTCTCCTGCAGGGGGCACATATGAGCACAGCTTAAAAGCCCCACTTCCTGCAATAACTGCAAAACAAAACAAGTAAAATGTTTGAATTTTGAGGAGAAGGAACAGAGTGTAGCAGCCATGTCTGAGGCAGCAGTTTATCACCTCAGTGTTTACTGTCTGGCTACTCAGCTCCAACAATATTTAAAATTAAATTCAAAATAAACTTGTTCATTAACATCGAGCGTATATTTTCTGCGTGAAAACATTTCCATGTAGAAAATGTCCTCAGGATTTGAAAAGGAATCAGAAAAGAAAAATACAAACAGATGATCAAATCTTTTTTTTTATATTGAATCAGAAAAGAAAAATACAAACGTGGGGCGTCATCCTTACAGATGATCAAATCTTTTTTTTTATATTTAACTATCAACTAACAAAAAAGTCTTGACACCCAGCCAGTTCTCCCAACTATAATAGAGAAAAATACATCATTTTCAATATGTTCTTTTTTGCATTAAACTTTATTTAAAGTTAAATAGCCGTGTCTATAAACACTTAATCCACTGCACATAATTGAGAGTTGGCAACAACAGTGTAGAGTTGTTTCCTGTTCCCAGAACTTCCAGAGTTATGTCTTAATACGCTGACAGGAAGAGAGAGACTTGAACTTGCTGCTGGACATGACCTCTGGCTCTCAGCTTTGTCCCACTACTGCCCTGCTTGGCCTTGAAATTCTTGTCTAAATCTGGGTTTCGTGTTGATAAGAAATAAATCATGATCTTTGATCCATTTCCCCGAAGTGAGCTTGGACATGTTAAACTTGTAAACAACTAGTTTTTTAATCATTCGAACCATCCCCTTTGTCCCCCTAACTCACGCTCATTGTTATTTATGTCATGATGTTAAATATATATATATATATATCAGTATGATCCTAACTTGAGATGGTTCATTTTATTTCTGACTACAAAGAAACGAATTACCCGTTGGCCCTGTTAACGTCGAGTGTGTTCAGAACACATTAACAACGGTTTACACATGTTTTGGATTAAACAAAGAGAGAACAAACATACAAAAACAAAAAAACAAAAAAAAAACAATGGAGTTGTTCAAATGTTCACTATTGATGCATCCCATGTGGGCAAAAAAAAAAAGCATCAAACCTATCAAGGCACAAAGAAATGCCAAGAATCTGACTGAGGCGGCTGGAACTGAAGGGCATGGAAAATCACAGTGCACATCTAAATCAGAGGAAATATATAGTACGGCTGCATCGGACAGGTGGAAACCCTAACCTTCAAAGGTGACGGGATCTGTCAGGAAGAATTTACCTACTGTCCTGATTCCTGTGGTTTAAAAAAAGACTCCTGCATGTTGTAAAATTTTACTGCAAGAATAAAGTGATCGGGGGAGAGGCCCGAGCTGAAAGGGGGCGCGGGCAGATATATATCACATGACCTGGTTTATGGGTGTTTATATGTTTGGGAAAAAGCCCAATAAATGTTAACTACGGTCAACTGACACTTGTGGTCTGGCAGTTGGTTTAGTTGGTGACGTAAAAAAACAGATTTCTGTCATTTCTGACCTATAAATTCCTATAAGTCAGGAGTGTTAGGACTTCACCAACTTTGTGCAAATATTTCACATTTTAACGCGAAAGCACTGATAGACTGAGAAGCAGCTGGTGAAGTGATTGACATCAGAGCACGTACATTAATGTCAAGAACATTAGTTCGTACATTTATGCCCAGAAATGCTAAATATAAGCATAAAATATGGCTGAATTATAAATATATAATATAAATACTACAAGAAAATAAAAAAGTGATGGAGGATACAATAAGTGCGGTAAGAAAAAAGTAGAATATAACTTCAAAGCAAAATCTTATTTAAAAAAAAGAAAATATGTTTAAGATTGTTCCAAAATCTAAATGTATATCCAGGAAAAAATTCTTAAATCAACTTGAAACTCTTTTCACAGTAAAAACAATACTAATATAAGAATAGTTTGCCATGACTGATCCCCGAGCCTCACTTTAAACCTACAGGATGAGGTAGCTTATATATTCACACACACACATGCATTCATTCCAAATCAGGAAAGTGCTTGGCAACAACTGTGATTCTAAAGCACTAAATTAGTCCAAACCACTGGCTTAAGAAAATGTATTTCTGTTCTTCCTCTGAGCTGATTGGCCCAGTGAGAGCCATAAGTCAAGTTGATCATTAGGACAGGTAACAAAACTTCCTAAACCAAACGTTTTCCTGTTAAAGGAAGTAAAAATTTTACGAGGTATCATTTCACGTTTCTCTCCCTTTAGAAAGCCCTGATCTGTGCTCTCTCTTTAAACAAACAGGGCTCATGTATCTACAGATGCAACTAGATCTGTGTTTAATAACAATTTAGATAACAGCAAGCCACATGAAAAATGACACAGTCAGTGAAATCTCCAATCTGTCCACTTCTGTGTCTGTCTGCAGCTGCGTGTTTGCTGCGTGCTGTCACTCTGAGTTGCAGCCCAGTCTTTGAGTCAGGGCACTGCTGCCACTGTGCATCAGCCGAGCGGCCCAGACGCCACTGTTGTGGTGTTGAGCTATCACAGCCGACAGTCCTCCGAGCCACATCCAAGAAAAGAGAACATTTATCACCGCGGGGAGATGTGTATCTGAGTAAGGTCTCAAACAATGAGGAAAACACTCACTCACACAGACGTAACCATGCACATCCTCACTGTGTGTGAACTCAGCTCACATTGTGGTTCTGCTGCTTTCATTTGACCTTCATCTCTGTCCTAACCATTTCTCAGTGTGGTTTGATCCAGCAGATAAATACCCACTTCTGAGGGAACTCCCGCTCCCACGTCAGCGTCGGCCTGCGAGACGTACTTGAACATGTGTACGGTCCTGGTCAGGAGATGAATCTTATTCCTTGGTTGGTTTCCTGTGCACTGTTGGATTCACCGTAAAAACTTTTATAGGAGGAAAAAGATGAAAACACCTTCCCTCCAGCTCAACGCTTCGGACCATTTATCCCCCAAAAAACAATTTTTGTCAGGATGTTTATAGTAGCGCGGTAGTTGCGCTGTTGCTAGGTGGTTATGTGCACGAAAGTGTACGTGATTGCACACCTGCTGCTCAGAGAAATCACTAGCAGATGCACTGGAGATCTACTGTACCAGGGCAGCAGGCTGATGCACCCGGATAAGATCAGTAATAACAGTCAACAGGCCAAAACACACACAGAGGTGCACTACCTGAGACGGAGAAACACCTGGATCCCATTAGCACTGTCAATATGACCACACACGTGTAAAGCACTGAGCACTGTCCAAACAGACTTGACGACGCTTCATTACTATTGATCCGTTCTGCTGCGCGTGGTTTCAAAACAAACATAGACAAACACCGTGTGTTCTACTTGTTCTACACCTGAGAATACGGTAAATCCACTGTGAGTGTGTGTGTGGACGCTACGTCAATGTGTTGTTTGGAAATATAGACAGAGAAATTCACTCTCAATGGTTTGGTTTGGTCTAGATTAATTTAAACCAGATGTGTGTGCTGTGAATGAGATAAGTTTGGTCTAAATCAGTTGGGTTTGGTATAGTGTAGTTGACAAGTTAAAATTAGATTAGATTAGATTGGATTGGATAGGATTAGATCAGTTTAGTGTAGATAAATTGAGGTGAGATTAATATAGTTTATTGGAATTGACTCCCCAGTAAATCATACATGATTTGTATTATTTTTTAATTAACCCATGTTTTACAGTAAAGCTCTACACTCATATTCAGGAAACCCAAATTTTCTGCCTGTATTTGCATTGATAAGAAAACCACCCACGCTAAAAAAAAACCTGTTTTGATAAAGATGAGAAATTAAATTTGATGTAAACCATGAATACATCCTTTGGTGGTGAAAGTTTTGGGGGGTCTGTGCCACAAAGGAGAAACAAATTCAGCCAAACTACCTACAAAATCATCAAAATGTGTATCCTGATTTTGAAACAGGAAATTACACCCAAACATTCTCGGCTTTCACTTTGTTGCACCAACACACAAGTACACAAACAAATACTTTCTGTATCGATTTCACTGGATTTGGTCATAAAACAATGGTAACGAGAACTGAATCAACAAACACAGGATCCCACACACCATCTTATTTGAACTGGTGACGTTTTTGCACGTTTTTGGGGTGGTAGAGAAAACAATAGACAAAAGTGTTTCCTTTTTAAAAAAAAAACAAAAAAAAAAAACCTTGTTAAAAGTACGTTGCCAAGATTCTGGTAAAATCATTAAGATAAGATGAAATGATACATATATTTTTTGTATAGAACTACTTTCTGGGAAAGGCAAACAAGAGGTTAAGCAAAAATTTTAAAAAGTCTTCTCTTTCACATCTGTGATTTGGTCAAATTTTTTTAATTTGATTTAGTTTCCTTCTGGTCACAACTGCCACGTATTCAAAAGAGAAACCATGGACACATATGTCTGTGACATATATTATGTACCTATATTAGTTGTACAAACAGCTTCTTACTTTCTGTACGGTATAAGGAGGAATGCAACCATTAAAACTTGCCAAGAACAGCACGACCAACGAGATAAGCAACGACCTGTCAACGCAGTGGAAAACATCATTAATTAAATGTAATTATGACAGAGAATAGTTCTACAAACAAATTCTTGTGTTTCAAACCAAGTGTTAAGGCATTCGACCCAATTACATTTTGATGAATGCTCCTATTAATTTGATTAAAGCGTAATTTGTCTTGCGACCGACACAGATTGTCAGTTAATACTTTGCTTCCTGTATTTTGTTTGAAAAAAGGTACATATTTAAAGCCATTTTTCTTCCTGAGGATTCGACACAGTCTGTGCTGAAACATTCTCAGGGCTGGATGAGACCTGGTGTTGTTCCACAGGCTGTATCATTGACATCAGTGATGAAGAACATTGTATTCTTGGACAGATCATCTAAAAAAAGAGTCCAGTGCAGTAATCACACGAGTCAGCACATTCCTGAGGCTAGTCTGCATGTTCAGGGTGAAAGCGACTGCTAATCCTTTATTTTTGCACGTGCTAACTGTGATATTGCACATTATATCAGATTATTCTATCACCCAGGTAATTAATTATGCTCAAATGTGCAATCAATATGCAATCAGAGTGTGGGAAGGAGTTTTCGTTTGACCGAAGTTCCTGGAGCATGAACATCAACTCAACGACCAGGAACGTATTTGTGAAGACTTAACAAAGTTAAAACAGTTTTGTAACACACACGTCTACCTGCTGGGGTGGGAGGGTGTTGTCATATTAATGAATGTTAATTTTCATGATAAATCTCATATAGTTTGAATAAATTGTGATTAATCCACAGCTCTCCGGTGATTAATCAGATTAAAAACTGAGCAAATGTTCAAGTATGAAAATCAAGTACAAAAGAAGTGTTCCTTCAAAGACTAAGGCTTGGCAAACGTGTAATAAGCTGTGGCTCACCATTTTGTGCTGCCATTGAAAATGTCTGGCACATCATGAATGGACGAGTCGGACAACAGTGACCAAGGAGACCAGCAGCTGGGTTTGGGTTTTTTGGGGGGGGGTTTTGGACCAGTAAAACATTTGTTTTGCAACAGTTTGTAAATATGTTAGGCGTAGCAAATGGAGCTAAGTTGGTCAGTAGACACTTTTGCCAGAGGAATAAAAGTTCATTTCCAAAGTACTATCATATTAGTTATTGAAGGATTTCTTAAACTGTTACTTTGTGTGAATGAGGTTTTTAATATGAGTTCATCCTTGAAATATTACTGACGACCGTTCTTACAGGGATGATGTGGTACAGAGAGACAACAGAGATTCATACTGTGGCACTGCACAGGGACCGGGTTGAAAACATTCATCACAACAGAAATGTGCGCTGCATTACGCCACGTAACCTCGTTTACCCCTTCATGAACATAAATACTCAGCACGTTGTGGAGTCACAACTCTGCATAAAGACTGACTGAAGAAAAAAAAATACCACCATGCTTTGCGCCCCCATTAACTTGAAGCCATTACTTTCTGTCTTTAAATCTTGCAGTTGCAGTTGTTATTCTACTGTCAGGATGCAGGACAGCACAGAACAGCAGTGTTACCGTCGCCCTGCTGCACCCACGGGGATTTACACCCTACCCTCCTACGCCCTATAAATCCACCAAGTTGACAAACACAAAGTAGCAGGATTCATTGCATGTGCTCACACAAACACACTCAAGATGAACGGCTTTGCCACCCACTAAATTCTGGGTCTGGTGTGGTCTATCTGCTAATTTCTTTCCAGAAATTATGATGTGCACAAACACACTCACACACATACGTACACACACAGCAGACGTACACATTATCCCTCCATCCTCTGTGATAACAGTTGTCAAGTAAAAACGCAGCAGTAGGTGGTGAAGACAGACAAGAGGTTTACATTCCTCTGTGCAGCTCAACCTCACAGCCACAACACTATGTGAAAATATTGCTTTATTTCTCACCACACAGGATTCATCAGTAGCTCCATAGTTTATCTGACTCCACTTTGTGGGCATTTCTGTATCAATGGTCCAGAAACTTGATGAAAAACATGTTGGCTACCACTGTAGCTCTGCAACTTTTGTGGCTTCTGCTGATTGAGTTACAAGCCCTGTTTCATGTGGCGATACACTTTTATTCTGGTTCACACATTTTTAAATTCAACTCCCCCACACAGTCCCTGGAGAGCGTTACGTTTGACCCCAATTTACCAGAGAAGCAAATAAAAAAAGATGGTGTCACTGTTAAGCCAAGGTTAACAACAATATTTGCCTTCATATAGACACCGAAGTCTGTTTACACATATAACACTGTTTGGAAAAACTGCTGACACGGTCAGTGCAGTGCCCAACAGAGGGGGCATTTTAATTAAATCCTTGAATTTATTACCCTAAGACACAAGAAATAAACTTCCTCCAACTTGCTATCATTTGTTCACATCTGCAACATCCTGATGCACAAGCTTCTCTAAACTAAAACAAAAGTAATGGGGGTTAATGCTTTGCAGAAGAGTAGGGGGTTTTGAGAGTTGCAGTAGTTTATTGGAACGTGGCCTGTAAGCAAACACTGGCTGATGTGCATCCTGATTGCAACACAGAAGTGTTTATTATCTAGCGATTGTTTTGGATACATTGAAAATAAAACAGGCGTAATCGTTAGATATATCATATATGAGTTATTATAGATAATATGACACGATAAGATACGATAGCGTACCATGAGATGCGATACAAGGCCAAACGATAAAAACAACAATTTGAGGACAAAACTTGGAGCGCTCCTGTGATACATTCACGGGTCGATGGCACCATCTAGTGTTTCAAACAGATCAATTGCCCGTAAACCAGCAGGGAACGCTGTTCGACAATTATTGAGCCCTTTTGTCTTTTGTGTCCTCTCTTGTACAAATGCTTTGTATCGTCCGGGTAATTAAGTGATATATAGATTTTATTCAATCACATATCCGATATTTTTATACACATAAGACTGAATATATAATATAATGCACGTTTGCATTTAGCTGAATTTAAACTCTATCTACTTTCTATTACATGGAATATGTAAACATATTTAGGTTAAGTTCTTGAACTCTTGAATGCTGTCGTAAAACAACCAATTTAAAGGTATATTGTGAAGTGCTTTATCACGCCTGCGTGAACGCGCAGGAAAAAGGATCAGCACGTAAACCGGAAGTTGTATTACACCGGAAATGTGTTCGCTTGACGTAGAGAGTGACATAAAGCCAGCTGGTGGGGTTGTGTAACTGCAAATTGTGTGAGTAGTGTCCGTTCTTGACATTTATTAAAGTGTCGAGATACATTTAAATCTCACCGGTAACACGGTCGTGGGCTATTGCTTATTATTTAATCGCTGTTTTTATTTAAAAGCCAACAGAGCTGAACAGATGATAATAATAACAACCTCTTAGCTTAGCTGGCTAGCATCGCTACGTAAACAATGGACCCTGTGGTGGGTTTTAAATGTCTGTGGAAAGTCTGTATAACAAACGTCTTACTACAATGTATTAGGTCAGACTCCACACATGGGCGCTATTACACTATTACATGCTCAGAGTTGAGTTATAAACCCTCTTATAACATACAAAACACTGTTTTATAACCCATGTTTATAAAATCAGTTTAGATAATGTGTTTATGTAAAGGCTTAGTTACAGCACAGTAATTACACACAGTTAAGAGAAGTTTAAGGTTGCAACGATGAGTCAAGGAGTTTTTGACTGATTGGTCAACTAATTACTTCAAAATTTTACAGTTTTAAAATCCTTATTATTTTATATTTAATTTCTCCTTAAACTTTTTGACAAAAAATACCATTATTATTATTATTATTATTATTATTATATGTATTTGTAAATCATTGTGATATAATTTATGTGAAGGGGGCTGTATAAAAATAATTCACTTACTTATGATATCTTGTATTGAGCCGCAGATGGAGCTCAGAGGAGGGTCTTTCGACGTCTGAATGATCCACTGACTGGCGGACGTTGCTGGCAGCTGCACCACCATGCCGGTCGAAGGTTCTGAGGACCAAGTGCCTTCATCTCTCTCCAGTCCAGCAAGTGCAGCACTCACCCCAGGAGGGGCAGATGAGGATGGAGCTGCAGGAGGTTCAGGACTCTGCTCTTTTCCCGACACCAGTAAGGGCTCTGAGGCAGCTGCAGCCTTTCCTGCCAACACTGGACCTGGAGAAAGCAACAGTGGTGAGTTGAAGCATCATATACATCATATACTGTAGAATGAACATGTAGACAAATACATCATATACTGTAGAATGAACATGAAACCTATATAATGTGATGTCATTTGTCATTCATACAGGTGGTAAGAGGTCTGGAGCATTATTGCAGATCAACAGACAGCGTATACAAGCAGCTTGTGCCAGTTCAGGGGCAGATGAACTACAAGGCCTCGGTGTGGCCGTGTATGATCAGGACATTCTTGAGCAAGGTGTCCTCCAGCAAGTGGATGAGGCAATACAGGAGGCCAATCAAGCCTCGGCTAAGGCTGAGGCTGAGAAGGAGTACCAGTCTGTGTTGGATGATGTCAGGTAAATTGAGATAACTGCAGATGTAACCTTTTGTATTATTCTCTAAGTTATCATAGAATAATAGTATCCATGTAAACTGAACTTTTCTCTGTTTCAGGTCTGTTACCTCATCTCTGAAGCAAATTAACAAGATAATTGAGCAGCTCACGCCTTACGCTGCTTCCAGCAAAGATATAAGTCGAAAGATTGAATCTGTCAAGCGACAGAAGGAGAATAAGGTAAATAAAAATACACAAAGGAAAGTGTTTTGTGTTGTTCCACAGTGTAGATAGTCACTGTGATAAACTATACTTTTGTATTAAGGAAAAACAGCTAAAGAAAGTCAAAGCAAAACAGAGACGACTTCAGGCTATTCTGGGAGGTGAAGATGCCCAGAGAGTTGAAGATGAGCTTTTAGCTGAATGTGATGATGAAGAAGGTGAGTTGCTATTGTCTTATAAGATTTTTTTTTTTCAATTTAACAGAAATAACATTTTACTACTTCACTAATTCCACTAAAAAGCATTGAGACTTAATTTATTTTTGTTGATTCTGTACAGTCCAGTTTTATAAATACTCTTATATAAGGAGTCTCTTATTTATCTAATCCTGTAGTTGTGTGTGTTTCCTCAGAAGCCGGACCGTCCACACTGGGCAGCATGCTCATGCCAGTTCAGGAGACTGAATGGGAGGAGCTTATTCGAAAAGGGCACATGACTCCTTTTGGAACCCGAATCCCTCAAAAAGAGGACAAGAAGGAGCCTCGAAAAATTATGCTGGCTGAGAATTCTGCCTTTGACCAGTACTTGTCTGATCAAGCTAAGTTAGCAACAGAAAGGAAGAAAGGTCCTTCTTTGAAGAAAAAGAAGTCCTCAGGACTCAGACCTGACAAGAAAGACAGTGTAAAAACCCAAAAAAAACTTTCTCCCAAGGACAAAAAGCTTAAGAAGCGCATGAGAAAACTTCAGATCACTGCTCTGAAGGCTCATCCAAAAGCTCGGCCTAAGAATGAGCCTCATCCACCTAAACTAAAGAGGAAGCACCGTACAGATGGAGAGGAAACTGAGAGTGATGGTTCAGAGTATCTGCCCTCTGATGAGGTCATAGATCCTGATGAGGAAGAGAGACAAGCCATGGAGGAGGGATTTGGAGAGGAGGGAGATGACGAAGAGTACGAGTTAAAACTATTTAATAGAAGAAAAACTGACGGGAGGGCGAGGAAGAACGCTAAGACAAAGCAGGACAGCGAGGAGGAATACTGCCCAGAAAGTTCAGGCGAGGAAGAGGAGGAAGGGAAGGGTAAACTGAAGAAATTCAAAGATGATGGAGATGTGGAGTACTACAGACAGAGAATAAGGTATTATTCAATTATTTTCATTCACAGTTTATTAGAGAAGATGTTTTGGTTTCGTAGTTATCTTTGGATGCGAAGATGCAAAAAAGTTTTTCATTGTGTAGCCACTGTTATAAATGGCAAACCCCAGATTAAACCTTGGACTCCACATGTAATTTGTATTAGCAATGCTGCAAATGTGCTATTGTTATTCCCATTTTGCTTGCAGTCTTATTCTGTGGCCCCCACGGTGCAGAAGACGAGTTAATCCCAGATGAGATTGGCAGCTGTTTCTTGACTAAGCAAATTCACTCCCTGCTCTCCGTCTCTCTCTCTCTGCTCTCACTCTGGCCTAATTATCCTTCTGCACGTGCTTTTGTACACTCACTCACCCTAATGCTCAAATTAATGGAAGTGCAGCCCTAATGAGATTTCATATTTATAGCTGCCAAATAAATTGTGTTGGCATGTGTCCTTTTTCTGCACCACATTGATTGAATGTCAATTCAACACCACAGACATGGCAGGAATGGCGAGGCTAAGCATTATATGAGGAATGATATTATTAGAGCGGGTGGTGTTTGCAAGTGGGCGGGAGTGGAGTGCGGGGGGTGGAGTTGGGGGCCAGAAAAGTGTAATTAACTGAACCAATGCTTAGTCTTGACTTAATTAGAGAGTGTGGTCTCCCAGGCCCAGCTAAAGGACTAGTTTTCGTGGCAGGGTGACAGGACCAGGCCCAAATGAAGATGGATTCTTATCCTCTGCATCTCACACCTTTCTGGGGAACTCGCACTACTAATTGTCTGTATCAATCTTCATTTGCTGTGCGACGACTGTGCCTCTAACTGCGCTCTCTCCTGCACGGTTTAAACTGTTCTCTTTTACATTTCTCTTTAAGCTGTATGGTTTACTGCTCTGATTAAAAAAACAACTAAAACATACAGTATATCTGTTCAGGCAACTGTTGAAATAAATCACGGAGTGTAGTAGGTGCAAATAGATTTTCAATTCATTCACTGCACGTGCTTATCTTTTTCATCCTCTTGGCAGTTGGATGAAACCTACTGGTCCTGTTTTCACTGTTGTTGTACACTGGATGAAACCTACTGGTCCTGGTCCTGTTTTTACTGTTGTTGTACAGTGTATTGGTACAACTTTGTGGTATTTTTGTTTTAATGTGCTGTATAAAATAATTTGGCTTGGACCTGTTTGGTACTCATTATCAATTCAATCAACCACAAAAACTGTTTGAAATATAAAGGATTTATACTGAGGACAACACAAGGGTTAAACATGTTCATCTAACGACTGCTGATACAACATTAACCCACGCCCACAATGTCATCGATCCTAACATTGATTATAAGCTTTGAAAAAAATTCCTGCTCTTGTTCAGAGGTGCCTCTCTGTAATACATAAAACCAATGTGTCAACAGGAAATGGAAGCGTCAGCGTCTTCGAGAAAGAGAGGAGAAGAGGCAAAGAGGCGAAGAGCTCACCGACGACAGTGACGCCGAGTTTGATGAAGGCTTCAAAGTGCCAGGATTCCTCTGGAAGAAACTTTACAAGTAAGTTGGAGTCAAACTAGTGTCACTTTAAAGAAATTGAGTAATCCTTTGTGTAGCAGGAAGACTTATTAAAAAACTAATAGCATGTAGCTACAACTACCACCCACTAGTGGGTGCTGCTAATGCTGTCCAAACACCCAGGTCAGTTAGTCCAGTGCCTGCATATAAATTTGATTCAGTAGTTTATCTGTTAATAGATACTTAAAGACGGCCGACATGTAGTTACAATATCAATAATATAGATAGTAAGTAGAGCTCCACTGTGTACTTTCTCTTGTGTAATACTGAATACCGCACCTTTTTGCTCTTAGTCATTTAGGAGATAATAAATATTTAAAAATCTCATTCCAGCTGGTCATTCACCTCAGCAACTGAACCAGAGTTTTATCAAGAAAAACTAAAAAAATGACTGAAGTAATGAAAGCTTTTTGAATTGTATGGTCTATTTAAAGGGCAATAATAAGTCATTAAGTTAAAGATTTTTGGAGTTGTTGCTGGGGATGTTTTCACAGTGACATCGAAAAGGTCAGATTGCCAGGCCAAAAGGTCAAAGATCGTCCTTTCAGTGTCAGTCAGTTCTTAATAGTCACGAACAGAATGTTTAAAGATTACGACCGTGAAATGCACAGAATGTTTAAAGATTACGACCGTGACTCAACACATTGTGTGTCATATTGTCAGGTACCAGCAGACAGGTGTGCGATGGCTGTGGGAGCTCCACTGTCAGCAGGCAGGGGGCATCCTGGGAGATGAGATGGGACTGGGTAAAACCATCCAAGTCATCAGCTTTCTGGCTGGTCTGAGCTACAGCAAACTCAGGACCAGAGGATCCAACTACAGGTACACGCACGCAAAACAAACTGCGGCCAGAGACTGTGTGTCTGTATGGTATGAATATTTGATTAGGGGGATATCTGCCTGAGAGTGTTCGCCTGAATTATTAAACATGTTTCAATTATCAGACTCTTCACTTTCTTACTGCAGGCATCAGAGAAAACACTGACACTCTGCACGTGTGTGTATCTGTGAGTGTGTGCAAGAAAGAATGTGTTACAGTAGAGCCTGTGTCCTCGTGAACACTTAAGAGTGAATTTTGGAGTCATAAAGTGGGAGTGGAGCAGGTGTAGGGCAACAAATCACCAGTGCAATACATCAGGCAGTAATTTGGTTTTTACTGCACAAACGGCGCACATGCACTTAGGAGGTGGAGCTATCTGACGGTCAATACTCTGTCTACTATAGACGCCCACAAATTGATTGCTTGCAAACTCAATTATGGCCCAGTATCAATAGCTTCCACCAGGCGGAGGTTCATACAAGCCCATTAGTGTCTCTTTGCGTGTGTGAGTGTGTTTTGTTTTGTTTGACAGAGCTCTTGTAAATCGTCACTGAGGGGCTGAGCCTGTGGTCATGTACCAACGTGGGATTCATTTTCTGGGTGCAGCGAATAATTGGCCCAGCACAAACAGACTAGTAGTGGAACATCTGAAAGATATAAAGATGCATTTTAGATTTTAGATGCATAATTCACCTAATTTATAAAAATTATAATTTTACAGAAAATTCACATTAATGTGAATAATAATGTGATGATTTTTTTTATCAAAAAATTATTTTAGTCTTTATAGGAATGTACTAACTTGTGTTTAAATGTTTCAGGTATGCAGGTCTGGGGCCGACAGTCATTGTGTGCCCAGCTACAGTCATGCACCAGTGGGTGAAGGAGTTTCACACCTGGTGGCCTCCTTTCAGAGTGGCTGTTCTGCATGAAACCGGCTCCTTCACTAGCAATAAGGTGAATTGCACTGAATGTGTTTTGGACTTTAATATTCATAGTTCATAATGATGTTTCCCCCGGGGGGCACTATAGAGCCGTGTATGTAGAATTATTCTCTAACCTTCTCCCTCATCTGTACTCAACCCAGTGATATGAGAGATGACACAGAGATGACCACCTGACATTTTTAGTGCTTATTCTAATTAAAGTTTATGTGTGTGTCTGGTTTTTTTTCTGCTGCAGGAAAGGCTCATTCCAGAAATAGCAGCATGCCACGGTATCCTGATCACCTCATACTCAGCTGTCAGGAATATGCAGGACACCTTCCAGCGGTACGACTGGCACTACACAATACTTGATGAGGGCCATAAAATAAGGAATCCAAATGCTGGAATTACCACAGCCTGTAAACAGGTACTTTTACTCCAGAGGACCACGTCTGTTATTTTATTATACACGTAAAAGGTACAGCACCATATGATCTGCAGGGTTATGTGGGTAACTTTGTTTTTTTCCTTTTCTGTCTCCAGTTTCGGACTCCCCACAGGTTCATTCTCTCAGGCTCTCCTATGCAGAACAATTTAAAAGAGCTGTGGTCTCTGTTTGACTTCGTCTTCCCGGGCAAATTGGGAACATTACAAGTGTTCATGGAACAGTTCTCTGTGCCAATCACTATTGGGGGCTACAGCAACGCCTCACCTGTACAGGTACAGAAACACTCACACCCTGGGGCAGTGACTCTTCTTCAGAAGTATCACAACGTCAACAACAACATTTCCTTTTTCTACGCTACTCTTTCACAACACCTTCACATAAACCACAGCTCTTACCGCCAAAGCAAAGAGCAGTTCTGCAATTATTTTAGCCGTTAGCAAGCAAATACACTGGTATACCAAACCAAAAATACATAAAATTAAATTAAATGGCAGGAATACTTAGTGAGTTTGTTTTGTTTTATTCTGTATTTTTATTTAATGTGTATTAATTGAATATGTCTTGTTATTGGTGTAATTTAAAAATTTAGTGTAAACCTTTAATGAGAACAGTTTGAAAGACTGAACACGTACAAAAATAATTTATCAATTAGTCCAGAGTCCATATAAAATACTAACTGTAGTATAAGGAGGCAGGAGGGAAAGACCTAAAGTGTCACTCAATGACACTTATCATACACACGCACACACACATAATTATGGAGAGGGAGACAGAATCAGGTTGGAGGAACGGAGAGGAACAACAGAACCATTAAGTGTAGTGCAGGATAATGTAGGTCCATACGAAGGAACTTCAGCACATCCCCTGTGTGTGTATGTGTGAGAGAGAGCAAGAAAGAGAGAGAGAGGGAGGGAGAGGCTAAAATGGAGAGTCAGTGGGCTAAATTGTATCCCTTTGTCATTAGTGTTCAATCGTTAATAACCCACTGACTGTATGGATTTAATTATTAAAGCTGGCTATTGATGCTTCTTCCGCTGTCGATAATAAAAACCTTTACTAATTATTAATGTTATTAAATGGTCAGAGAGGGCTAAGCCCTGCTGCCTTATTCTCTTCTTGAAATTGTCAGGCCTGCAAACAGGCCCTCGACTGATGTTCCTGCACACACACACACACAAGTAGTGGAAGTGGAACACGTGTGAGACGTTGGGTGGGGCTTGAAAATGTGGCTGTAGGAAGAAATTCAAGAAGAAAACACTGAGCAGCTTGTTACCTGGATAATCTTCTGTCCTTTTCCACACTGCCCTTAAATCCCACCACATTATTGTCCCCTCCAGCCTTTCTCAGACTCCCTTTGATCTTCGGAGCAGTCCCACTGAGTTAATGTTTAAAAGGCTGGACTGGACCTTACGGCTGTTTCTGGATTACACGTAGCAGGCCATTTACAGTGGGGATCCCAGTGTGGGGTGGGTCTAAGTTTTTTCTGAGGCTGATGAAAGCGGAGGTCTCTGTCCCTGGAGACCAACGGTAGCCTGATCAATGTTTAATGGCTGGGAGCTGCTGGGAGGGTCAGCCCTGAGGGAGGTGATGATAGAAGACGGAGGAGGGGTTAAACCACGATCACACCTCAAGAAACATGCACACTGACAGGTGTGAGAGCTACAAGTTCTGACTCATGGATGTGAATGCTGCCTGTGCTAAGACTTGGCCTTTGTTTTTGTTCTCAGGTCCAGACAGCGTTTAAGTGTGCATGTGTGCTGAGGGACACCATAAATCCTTACCTGCTCAGACGGATGAAGGCAGATGTCAAGGCCAATCTCTCCTTGCCTGACAAAAATGAACAGGTATTCATCACACTCTAAAGACATCTGACCCTGCTCTAACTGTTGAATAGCCTCTCACGTCTGGCTCTCCGAGCTGGGGAGGTGTTTATCTGATTGCATGTGACCGTATGTGCCACATCTAAGGAGTATTTGATGAATGAGCATGGCCTTTGTCAGGCGAAGCCAGCTAATAAAGTCCTGGTAAAGTAAAAGAAGCAGGTATTCATTAAGGTGGCTGGTCTCTGGTCTGTCCTCATGGCTGACGCCGGATGAGTCCTCAGTCCACTTCAGCTCATTAAGTCAGTCCCCGAGGAGAGCAGAAGCTCCAAAAACACAAACCTTCCCTCTCTAATTTCTCTCCTCGCACTCTGCAGTTCATCAGGGGACCTTAGAATGAACACTCACCTCTCATTACACACTCACACCTTTACAATTCTCTCTGTTTGTGCATGTTTGCTTGCGTAGGTCCTGTTTTGCAGATTAACAGAAGAACAGAGGCAGGTGTATCAGGGCTTCTTAGATTCCAAAGAGGTCTACCAGATACTAAATGGAGACATGCGGGTAAGTTTGGTTTACAGGCAAAAAAACCCACACCTTTCTTTATTAGAAATTACCCTAAAATCCCACCTAGACAAGATTTCTGCTTAGTTTTATGTCTCGAAACGAGACGAGAGGGAGAAAAAAAAACCAGTGGCAGTCTGAATTTAGCCATGTTAGTTTTGTTTAACTACTAATCGTTTGACTTTAGCATTCTTCAAGCTGCTCTCTTTAAGGAGCGTGTGCAGTTTGTCTTCTCACATTAGCCAGACCCTGGAGAGAGACTTGACCATTTATCACCACCAACCAAATGGATGTGGTTGGAGAGCGAGAAGTCACCACAGCAGAACAAACTCTCAAACACACACAGCGGAGCACACCAACACGTGCGCACACACACAGGCCCTTATAGACACATTCAGTGGTCACTCTCAGTCCATTAACCACCATTACTAATGCAGTGACCACTGGGCCTTCATCAAGAAACACAGCCTTTATTGTCCTTAAATAAATTATGTAACTCCTTCCTGTACACTAAAGTAAATTACTTTATTTGTTTAAAGGTGCAGTGCCATCATAAACCACTTTTGTCACCTATCACCAGGAAACATCGGTGAAAGGAAAGCTTCTGATCCTTTCTCTAACGCTCTCTCTCTCTACGTTCATAAACACTGTTTAGGTGTTCTCTGGTCTGATAGCGCTCCGTAAGATCTGTAACCACCCTGACCTTTTCTCGGGCGGTCCCAAGATGCTGAGGGGAATCCCCGAGGACCAGCTGACAGAGGAGGAACACTTTGGCTTTTGGAAACGCTCTGGGAAGCTGATTGTGGTGGAGTCACTGCTGCGTCTCTGGTTCAAACAGGGCCACAGAGTTCTCCTCTTCACTCAGTCTAGACAGGTCAGAATTACACTGCACTAAATGTATAGAATGTTTTCTGTCTATTATCTGGCTAACTACAACAAATTTAAAACTGTAAAACTGTATTGGCAAATGTGTGTGTGTGTGTGTGTGTGTGAGAAAAGGCGAGGGGGGGAGGGGGAGAGAGAGAGAGAGAGAGAGAGACAGAGAGTGAGAGAGAGAGGCCCCAGCTGTTGCAGTCAATACCAATGAGATTATACCTCAGAGGGAACCTGAGACCCTCCCTGTCGGTATCTCTGTCCATGTAATATTAATCTGCTCTAATCCTTTTAGCCATAATCCAAACCTCAGCCCCTCTCTCCTTCCTTCTGTTTATCTCCCCCTTTTTTCCTTTTACTCACTATCTGTTGTTTTCCAGATGCTGGACATTTTGGAGGTGTTTGTAAGGGACAATAATTACTCCTACCTAAAAATGGACGGCACCACCACAATAGGTTCCCGACAGCCGCTCATCGCTCACTACAACGAGGTAAGGATTAGTCATCCCTAATGGCTGCTGAGTGTTTCCCATGAAAATCCCATCCTGAGGGAGAACAACGCTTCATGCAATTCTGCTCCGCCCGAGGTGGAAACACTAATTGACGACAATCTGCTGTTCAAACAGAAGCGTCTTTTTGTTCCCGGTACTGAAATATATTGGACAAATCACAAAACATTATAGACAAGGCAATCTTCAGTCCAGCGAGTCACTGTCCGCTGTTTGAGTAGCCAGTGTCCTTATAATAAATAATGGATATAATGGATGTTAGTACATTATGACATAACCCAATAAAACAGACATTACAATATCTGGGGTCAAGAGTTTTTATGAGCTCACTGCACAGAAATATGAGTTCTGCTGTGTCTGTTTTGAGAGCGGGACAGAGAGGCTTCACACTCTAGGCTGCAGCCCACACATTTATCCTAAAATTCAATATATCGCACAGTCCTCAATTATGATATGACTTTTTTATGTCACAAATTCAAAAGACTGTGTCTTTGTTTCTTACAGGATCAATCCATATTTATCTTCCTGTTAACCACCAAGGTTGGAGGTTTGGGAGTGAATCTGACTGGAGCCAACAGAGTTATACTCTATGACCCAGACTGGAACCCCAGTACTGACACACAGGTCAGAATGTGGATGATGGTGTTTTGTTCAAGTTTGTTTTTCCACTTTACACAATAATTTACTTGGACGACTCGTGTAGGCAAGAGAGAGAGCATGGAGGATCGGTCAGAAGCAGCAAGTGACCATCTACAGACTGCTGACGGCAGGAACCATCGAGGAGAAAATCTACCACAGGTAGAAAAAAAGAAATGACATAAATGACTTCATCCTGCCTTCTTCTCACCTGCCACTCTTAAATCTGAGTGTTGTCCATTAAATGTAAGCATTAGTTAATATTGGTAACCATATTCATTGAGACGCTTAATTGCTTGCATCGCCCCGGTTCTCTGTAATTGAAAAGCTTCCCAGCGTCATTAAACGGCCAGTGTAGGTCTTCTCAAGTATCGCTCTGTTTGTGTTGTGTCTGTAAAGTGCCTTTAAAAAGGCAAGAAGGAGAAACAGCAGGGATTTTATTTTGATAAGTAATTTTTTTCTCATCTAAACTACAGCTAAACTACCCTGCAGTGGCCCGGCT